CCCTAACGCCTTCCCGGTTCCCTTCGTCCCCTAACCTCGCCCCCTCCCTCGAGACCCCCCCCACCCTAACTTGCCCCCCTAGGACCCTACCCTCTACCTGTACCCTGACCTGCCCAAAACCTTACACCCCCAACCCCCACGACCAGCCCCCCCCGAACTCCCAACCCATCCAACCCTCCCCCTGCTCCCTGTCTCTTGACTGCCCCCTCCAGAACGTCCCTGCTCCTTCTCCGACACCCTGGCCCCGTTACTGTGCTGCTCAAAACGCGCAGCCCAACACACTGCCGCGCTCCCCCACGGAGCGCATAGCCCGGTTCCCGCCCTCGCAGAGTGCTGCGGAGCAGCGCGCTGGGCCAGGGGAGGAGCTCCAGACTGCCGGAGGCCCGAATGTCCGGCGATCTGCGAATGCAGTGAGTGAGTGATCTCAGCTGCAGGGGAGAGGAGGGGGAAGCGGAGGAAGGGGCTCTCTCTGGCTGCCGGAGCCCAGTGCAAGTGGCACCATCCGGCTGGCTGCCCTGTCAGCCGCGCACGCTCTACATGAGGGGAAGTCCGGACATTTACAAATTCCCCCCGGACGCTATTTTTAACTGAGAAAAGCTGAACATGTCCGGGGGAATCCGGACGAATGGTAACCCTAATTAACACCTGGGGCTCAGGCTTTAGCTTTAGCTTCAGACTTCAGGCTGGAGCAGACAGCAGTCACAGTCTAGGGCAGAGGTCCCCAAACTGTGGGGCACACTCCCCTAGGTGGGTGCAGAGGAACGTTCGGAGAGCATAGCGGGCCCGGGCCAGCCCCCCTGGGGGGCAGGGAAGGAGCACCACCCAGCCCCTCCCCACCACCAGCTCTGCTCCAACCCTGCCCCAAGCTATGGCCCAACTCCTGTCCCTGCGCCTGGCCCCATCTCCAGCCTCAGCCCTGGCCGCAGCTCCGCACCCGGCCACAGGCCCAGCTGCCAGTCCCCACTGCAGGCTGGCTGTGGCTCTGCTCCTGCCCCTAGCCTTGGCCCCTGGCCACATCCCTGCTCTCAAACCCACCCCCAGTTGCAGCTGCAGCCTTCTTACCCAGTCCATGCCCCACCCCCCAAAGCTGCAGGCCCTGCTCCCAGCCTGGGGGGTTGCGAACAGGGGCAAGAGGGGCTGACTCATTTCCCGGCAACACAACCGGACTAATGTCTGGTTCCCCGTGGCTACTTCCTACCGCCCATCCTTGGCGTAGCTCCATAGTCCATGGGTCCTCAGGCTCCTCAGGGTAAATGGAGGATGGCAATCCCAGCAACTCCTCTCCACAATCAGTCTCCTCCAGGGGCAGGGCACTGCACAGCTCGGTCCCTGGTCCAGAGTTCAGCGGCAAGGTACAGCAACTGAGCTGACGGCCCGTCTTGTCCCGCCCCCTGCTTCCAGCACAGAGGGCAGGGCTGTCTTGACTTTGCTCACCAGGGGCATGGGGCAGTTCAGGCTCAGAGGGAGGCCACTCTGCCTCACTACAGGGTGCCTGCTCTGTCAGCACACCCATCTCCAGGGCCTCCCACACCTGCTCTGGCCCCCTTCTCCACACACCCACTTTGAAGGAGGAGCTCGAGGAGCCAGCTCTCCCTAAGCACCTTTCCCCTCCTACTGCCACCTCATTCAGTGCCCTCACCACTTGTGGAAACCTTTCCTGACCCTCATTGACAAGCACACCAGTGCCTCTATCATGTGTCTAAAAGCCTCCCATTGCCTCCTCCCAGGATGCCAAGAGCCCTTCCTTGCACCGCCGGGCTGGGCCATGTAGAAAGTTAGGTTGACCCAGCTAGGTCACTCAGGGGTGTGAAAAATTTGCAGATTTACCATAGCAACAGGAGACCCCCCTTCCGTCACTGTAATAAGAGTCTACACTACAGCGCTGCAGCAGCACAGCGGCAGCTATGCCGCTCTAGTGTTTCTAGCGTAGACATGGTCTTACTTGGCAAAAGTCTCCACAGACCCCATCAGGCCTGGAGCCTCCCTTCAGCTGATAAACAAAGGCCTGTCATTCTCAGCACTTGTGTGCGCTCCTGTTTGGCGCTGTGAGGAATGACAATGGAGCATGAGCCTGGACTATAGACAGCAGTAACTCCCTTGTTATTTATGTAGGGCCTGATTGTCAGATTGACATCATTGGGAGCTGTGGGTGTGCTTCAGAAAACTAGGCCCCTCTTGGTTAACTTACACTGTTCTGCTCCCTCACTCCCCACCCCCACTCACAAACCCTGTACTGTAGTATTAATAAAATCATCCTCCCACCTCCAATCCCTGGGACAACTTGATGCCACTACCTCACGTGTGTTCAGCAGTCTGCCCAGGACATGGTTCCTTTAGGCCATGAGGCTTTGAGCCAGTTTTCAATTCTCCCTTTGTTTTGTGCTGTGTCTCAGCTCGGCTGAACCTGAATGATGTGTCAAAGCAGCACCGCCTGAACGTGCTCAATAATGTTGCCACGGCTCTGATCTTCATCACCGTCATCCTCAACATCTTCATCACCGGCTTTGGTGTGCAGAAGACTGGTCTCTAGGCCTGGAGAGCAAGGGAATCAGGTAATGAAGGGATGAGGGTCCACTACCACCCACCTTTGGAAGGGTCAACTGCTTCGGCAGTCAAAGGGTCTCAGAAATCATCAATGCTGTAGTGAAAGGGAAGGTGGGGGACAGCCCTACACATACACACATGGCCCCTTTGTGAATAGTGTTGTCCCATGGGAAGCCTGGGCTGTGTGACAGGATCTCTCAGGAAAAGGAATTTCCTTGCTCCGTCTCTAAAGCAAGGATGTCATGAGTCCACATTTATGGGATTCATCAGATATCTGGTAGCAGCAGTTGGTGTCCAGCAGATAGCAAATCCCAACCTGGATCATGATAGGTACTATGGGAGGGGAGTCAGACAGTGGAAAGGAAGGTGTGGCATGTATGTGGGAAAGGACCTGGTTCCCAAGAGCTATTCAGGCAGTGGGAAAGATCAGAAGAGGGACCAATGCTGGCAAGGGTGGTGGAAGGAAAGAGAGGCAGTAGGGAGGGAGCTTTTCAAAATGGCCATTGCTATTTGGTGATGGTGGTGGCCATTTTAAGAATCTGATTTTTGACCCTTATTCCTCTTGCCTTAATGGTTCCCACCAATAGGGTGACCATATTTGCCTATACTGAATATGGGACACCTGGTAAAATTACTTGTATTCAAGCAAGTTCAGTGGCAATCAATTGTACAAACATTCAAATTAACATCAAGTTGCCTGAGCCTCTGTTAAAAAGAAATACTGTTTAGTTGGATTCTTTTTATTTACCGTCTTATCTTTAAGGCTTTAGGGTTCACATGGGGAGGGGTGACACACACACTTCCCTCCCCGTCCCCTTCCCCCCCGCCCACACACACACGGGGAGAGGTCTCACACACACACACACACCTCTCTCATACTGTGTGTGTGTGTCTGTGTGTGTGTGTGTGTGTGACCGACCCGACCCAACCCTCCCTGCCTGGCGCTCTCTGCCCTCCATGCCTGGCTGAGCCCCTGGGACAGACCCGCCTCTCCTGGTACCTGGCACTCTGTCTTTCCAAGGCAACACATGGGCAGAGGGCATGTAGGGTCACATACCCTCCCTCCCCAGATTCCTACCAGGGTTCACACCAGAATGTGGCCAGCAGCAGCCTTTCAGCACTGTGCAGGACAGAAGGGACAGGAGCTGCTTCCAGCTGCCAGGGAGGAGGAGGAGGGATGACTTGGTCCGTGTCTTTGCAGAGCTTCTCTTCCCTCCACCCCCACATGTGTGGCTGGAAGCAGCTTGTCCATTCCTGCCTGCACAGTGTTGAAAGGCAGCTAACACCTACCAGGCTGGCCACCGTTCTAACCCAGCTGCCTCTGGTCCCCAAACTACAGTGCAGGCAGGAAGGGGTTAAGCCCAAAGGATGCATTGTGCACCAGGGCCTAGGAAACCTGACTGCAGGGGCTTCAGTGAACCAGGCCAGAGAGGTGGCTCAACAGGGGAGGGTGCCTAGGGAATGGAGCAGTCCCACACTCCCTGGAGGCAGGAACCAGGGCTGGGGTGAGGGGTGGGTTTGAAGAGGGTGCTAAGCCCCTTCCCCAGTGGCTGCTGTGGAGCCTGCAGGTTCGGGGTGTAAACAGGCTGAAAATCATTCCCGTGCCGCTCCAGAGTTAGCTGAGGGGTGGAGAGGCTTCCCTGTGCCTGCGCTGTGCATGGCTTTGGCACATGCAGGGCTTGTCTCCTCCTGGCCAGCGCCCCAGGCTCGAGGGTCTTGGGCTTTCCCAGGATGCCAGCCCAGCCAGAGGCAGTTGGGGAAGGAAGGAGCCTGCTTGCCAGGCTGCGTGAGCTGAATGCTCTGACCTGGGGCTGGTTCTCCACACAGTGCTGGGAGCAGGATGTGCCAGGGGCTGGGATATGGAGGAGCCGCAGGCCTTGGGGGGGAGGTGAAGGGGCAAAGCAGGGAGAGGACAGTGAGAGGGGGAGAACGTAAAGGGCCGATGGGTGGACAGCAGAGGCAACACGTAACCAGCCCTCGCCTGGTGGCTGCCCACACTCACCAGCCACCACAGCTTGCAGCACGCAGACAGTGCCAGCCGGGAATGGGATGGGGGGGTGGCCCTGCTGGCCGAGAGCTGGCACGCAGCAGGGGCTGAGCTGATGGACCAGCGGCAGGGAGAGTGGCCGGTGCCACACACTGCATCTTCGCTCCGCCACCAGCCTTGCACACCCACCCCCATCATCAGCCACTGGACCCCCCACTCACCGCTGGTGGGTGAGTGGCTGGCGAGCCGGGATCTGGCAAGCAGCAGGATCTGCCAGTACTGATGGGGGAGAGGAGGGCAGGAGAGACAGAAAATATGGGACAATTTGCCCATTTTTAAGAAAAAGTTGGGACACCTGCAGGAGGGCTTAAATATGGGATTGTCCCTTTAAAAATCGGACATCTGGTCACCCAACCCCCAAGGATGCTGGGGCAATGGCCAGCAGGAGAGTCTCACGGAAATTTGGATTGGAGAGGGAGGTGGGATCCTGGATTCAGTGCAGAGACACAAGGCTTCCATGAAGATGGCACTGGCTTTGGATTTTGCGAGATCTGTGGGATTTAGGGGCTGAATGCCATATTTATTGCGGCGGCAATTACCTTCCCCTTTGAGTGTGATAGAGAGCAACCCCTACAGATTAATACACAGGGAACCATGCAACATTTTTAACTCCCCTCTCTGGGTTTTACTTCCATAGGAATCAGTCAGGACTGGTTCATAGAATGCTTTGAGATTCTTCAGCTTGAAAAGCACGAAATAGCATTGTAAGGCCTCTAAATGCTACCATAAGCCCTGATCCTGCAAACACTTATGCGCATGTTAACTACAAGCACAGAAGTCATCCTACTGGACTAGAATGATGCAGTGCTAGAAGAGATGGGGATAGGGTGATCACCTTTGCTGGCTGGAAATAAGGGAAAACTACATGAAAACTAAGGAACAATGCTTTATTTTAAGGGACATTTTAGGGAAACCGCCATTTCCCTTAGCATAACATGTATTTTCTCTCAAGTGTATGTTTCTACTGCCTTCAAGTTTACAATGCAATTATCATAAGCTTCAATGTTTAAAATGGTCAAGGGACATCCCTTAAAATAAGGGACAGGCAGTCACCCTAGCTTGAGATCCAGTATGAATTAAGGAAACTTGGGGCAAATAGAATGAAAAAATGTTACAATGGTGGCATGTTTTCTTGGAATGGCCCTGTAGATGGGGTGTGTTTTTGTGTGTGAGGAGGGGGGGAATGGATTGCAATAGGTAACACAGGCAGAGGGTAGAGGGAAAGCTCTCCTGGGATCCTGCTTATGAAACTTCTATGAAATACTTGCTGACCTGAGGAACCTAGTGGATTCTTATCTTGCATCTTTTGTTTTTCTTGCAGGTTGTGTGTGTGGCACCAGCTTTAGGGTCCCTTCCTTCAATTTTTTACTGACCTCAGCAGAATCCTACCAGCTGAGTGGAGACACAGAATGCCTGAATTACTCTTTAAAAATTGTTTGTAAAGTATTTTATGCAGGTTGTTTGTATAAAGCATGTGTAGCTTTGCAGGAATGAAATTTCCATTGATTTTTCAACGCTAGTGCAAGTTGTGCAGTGATTTCTAGAGAGCTTCACAAAAAGTTGCAAAAAAGCATTTTCCAAACATGCTCCTGTGCATAGGTAACAACAACTTTTCTTTAATTTTAATTCTCTGCTTCTCATATTCAATATTAACTAATTTTCTACAGGGGGTTGAGTTCTAGACTGAGTTATATTTATTTGGTAAGCAAAAGTAACCATACCGTGTCCAGATATTTTGTAACGGCAACATTTAAAGTAACACTATCAAACAGCTTATGTCTCAAATATAGGTTGGTTGATTGATTGTTTTTGTGGGAGGAAAGGAGCGGGTGTGTGTGTGTTATGACTACTAATAGGAATAAAAATGTTTTCTTCAAGGTTGCTTAAAAAAATCAAATGAGATGCTTTTTTGAAAACCATTAAATATTCCTCTGCAGTGCAGGAAACCTAAACCCCACAGCAAATAGATACTATGCTTAGATACCACCACAAGGACCTTGTTAGAAATCCTCTATGGATAACATGGCGGTACTGTAGGAGAAATAGGAAATGAAGCTCACTAAACACAGAAAGTGAAACAGACCAGTCTAGCTTCACTTGTCTACATTAACTGAGGTGCAAAAAGTAAACAAACAGCATATACATGTTCAAGAGTAAACTGGGTTTAACTCTTTTTTGGTGTTATAATTAAAGGTGTTATCAGTAAGAGGTATGCTATTAAATACATGATTTTTATCCTGCTAGTCCTGTGAGAATTCTAATGTGTTGGAAAGTGGTTTTACATTTTTTTTTAATTACTGCTTTGAGGTTGTGCATCTTCAGATCATTCTGAATTAGCAGATTCTTTCTGGCAGCCTGATTTTTGGATTATTGGTGTCACACTCAAAAATTGGATATTTTTGACTTGTCAGTTATTTGCATACTTGAGTACTATGTTTTCCTCTTTATTAAATGATTTTTCACTCAAAGACAGAGTCAGATTTCAATATGGGTGAAATCCTATGTATCCAATAAACCGATAGAAAATTCCTAAGGTTGACATCGTGTACATTCCCATCACAGTTGGATAGGAAAGGCAAGGCAACGGCAATTGCATGATGATATTCACATATTCTCCTCAGAAGAGCTTCTAAGAGATACTGGATACTGCTAATATGGCTGTTGCTGACTTGACTTTGGCTGGTGTCACTGTTTACCTCCCACAAGCTGAGCCGACCTCCTGTGTGTTTGACTTTTCAGATCTCCTTCCAGAAATCTACTCTGTTGCATTTCAATTTAAATCAGAGGTGTTAGCTTCATCCTGGAGACAGGGCCAAATGACATTTCTATAGCATGTTCCACCCACAAATTAGCTGACTGTAGAAATGCAGGGGCATCATTACATTCCTAACTCTCCAGTAATTTGCCTTATAGGATTTTGCCTATTGATCCTTCTGAGTGTTCTTCTATAGGCGAAAGTCTTATGTGGGTATTTCTTAGTAGTAGCCATGATAGACTGTTTAGATTTTCTTGCTTCAGATTATACACACAATAATATTAATGATTACTTTGTTGTCATCCATCTTTGTTTATTTTGCCCGGGGTAACTAAAGCTGCCTCATCTACGTGCTAGAGGCACCATCTCTAAAAGTTAGAGGATTGTTTGCTCTCTGTGCTTATTTCACACCTTGGCCTCTCTATGGAGCCAGCCAAGAAGCTGCTAGCAGCAGTGAGGATTTATGAGGTGGATATTTCCCCACTAGCAGCTAGAGTGAGGCTATTTCACACAGGCCACCAAGGAACTATCAGGTTATGTCTTTCAACCACTACTGACCTGACTGGGTTTAGGCAAAGGTGACAAGCTTTATATCCTTTTCTCAGGTGCCAATCCACCCACTCCCTCATGGCCACAGTCTGCTTCACAAAGTCAGGGGCAGAGCAGTAATGGCTGAATGTCAGACAAATGACTCAGCAGAGGAGGAAGAGGTGAGGGACTCTCCATCATCAAAAGTTAACTTGGATGTCCTTCTCTCTCACAGAGATGCCAAGCCATATAGTGCTGCATGTGAGGCATATTTGTGTGGGGACTGCTTCCCATTACTGAACATGACACCGCAGGAGACCAGCACACAGTGCTGCCCTTTATCACCTCTCGATCATGGAGTCAGGAGCATTGGCACTCCTGGCTGCCTTCTCATTTCTATGTATCAGACCTCAGCTCTGTTCTGACCTGCTTGCACTCCCATAGGCAGCAAGGAGGTTGTTTATTTAAAAAAACCAACCTTTTAAGTAAACAATGTCTAGGAAAGAACTGATCTAATATTTGTCCATTGTCTCTCTCAGAGAATGGGCTAAGCTCTGTGTTCCCTCCTGCACCTTACTCCATGAGATGGCCCCTGCCAGCTGAGGCAGAGATTGGTCTATCATTATAGTGCTCCTTGCTGCTTGAGGTGGAAATCTAGCCTGTATCAATGTTCTGTTCCATTTCCTGTGATGCAGCCCTGATTAATAGGAGAGAAACTCCTCTATGTCCTCCTGTCCCATTCCCTGCAGCCCCCATTGCTTGAGTGGGGGAAAAAACAGATCATGATCTGACCCCTGAATCCCCCCCCCCTTTGTGTTGGTCTCTGCAGCACCCCTGCTGGGGTACAGAGTGATCTATATCCCATGGATTAACATTGTCTTTTGCTGGGTGAGACAAAGAGAGGAACATTTGACCTTTAATCACTGAAGAGTGTTGTTGGCAAATGTCTGAGGAACATACAGACAGAAGTGAGCTTTTGTAGGAAGAAACTGTATTTATAAACCCCTTGCGGTGCCAGCCTACCCCCCCTCCTAACAGAGGGGAGGCCTGGGAATCATCTTAAAGACACAAAGCCACTTTAAGGTGTGGAATTCAGAGGTACAGTACAGAATTAAAACACCAGGCGTCGGTGTCTGGATAACATTTCAGACATTTACAAGCAATGAGAGAAGGCAAGACATTCATATGAGGGAAACATTAAAGACAATGACAAAACAGTCACATCATGTTCACACAACAGATTCTTTCATGATAAAACCCATTCTCTCCCAAGCCCTTTGTTGGATTGCAAAACAATTTCCATCATGGAGTTCACAAGGCAGTGGAAAGGGCCGGATGCCTTCAAATAATGCCAGTGGAAAAGAGATTGAGTTTATGGAGAAGCCCACTTCCCCACTTTGGTAAAGCCAGGCTCCCCGTAGCCCTTTTGTGATGTCTGGGGAGCTGCCATTCCTGAGACATGTCTCCTTTCTGATAGAGGAGAACCCCATGACCCACCCCAATCCCATCAGTGCGTAAACCAGAGTGACGTAAGCCAGAATCTATGAGCCTCAGCTTCCACTCTGTTCTTGATTTTGATTGGGGCGGGTGGGGGAGAAGAAGCATCCTTCGGGTTAAACCCTTGACTTTTTCGTATGCATTTCATGCTGGCCTGACAGCCCTGGAGCAGGTACTCCTTTCTTTCCCCACAACCAGTGGCAATCTCAACCTGGACCTCTACTGACTACTTCAAGGGCTGACAGGCAGGTTCAGTCTCCATGGAGAATTCCCTCTGAGGATTCTCTGCTGAGGCTGCCAACTAGTGCCAATTGTGATGGTGGCTTTTGTGGTATGCATAATTGCCCTCTAGGAATAGGACTGAGACTCTACACCTATTTCACATAGACAACCAAAGAGCCCTTAAGGAAGTGAACAGTTTTGATCATTACCAATCTCGCTGAAAGGCACAAAGGAAGGAGCATAGCTGAGTGAGCACCAGAAGACCCCGGGTGAAATCCTAATCCCACTGAAGTCAATGAGAGTTTTGCCATTGATATTAATGGAGCAAGGATTGTATCCCTTTTGATATGCCCAGCTCTATTACTGTGAGCCCTAGGGGCAGTCTCCGACCCTTCATGCTTCACTTTCCCCATTGGTAAAATGATACTCTTCTTCAAAAGTGCTAAGTACTACTTCTAATTCATTGGATCCCACTGCTTATCTTCTAGGCCAGCCAGTCCCCATTCCACATGAATTTCTTTACAGAGCCAGTTCATGCTATGAGACTTGCCGTCCCAAGGAATCCAGAGTTTGGAGAGAGGGTCTGCAAGTACTAGAGATTTGTTATGCCCTGCAAGTATGTGCACAAGCCCCTGAATAAAGCAGCACGATAGGACATGCACTAAAGGTGCATATCAACTATTCCAGTCAGAAACAATCAACTGCCAAATCATTAAACTTCTAAAAACAGAGTTTTCATCTATCACCTCTTTTCCCCTCCAAAAATCGTTTTTGTGTTATTTCTCAGTCTCTAAATATGAAAAGTACCTTCCCTAGTTACAAAGACTGCTGTGATTTGCAGAGGGTTTGATACTGCATCTTCTTAGATCCCAGATGGCTACAGTCCTACAAATATTTAATGGATTAAAAGACTCAGTAGCCCCTTGTACATTTTTCACCATTGCTCCACTCTGCATAGCATGCCCTGCCCAACCCTGGAGGTTGATGGTTGGTGGAGCACTGACTTAGCCCATACCAGCCAAGCGGTGGATCTCTGCAGTCCTTGAATTATGACTTTGGTGGGGACAAGATTCCACCCTAGGTTTGGGCAGAGTTTGAACAAGGTCCCCTCCATATTCCTTTCACCAAAGCAAGCTCCTTTCATCAGTGCAGTCACCAAACTTCCATGGTCCTGTCACCAGTGCAAGCCCCAGATCCTAAGTCCATCTCACCAAGGCTCATCTGGTCCTTCCATAAGTGCAACATTGTGAACTGCTCCTGTTCTTCCACTATGCAAACAAATAGTTCTTCACACACGTAGAATCTATCATGGAAAACAACTGTGAAATCATAACTTATTAAATTAACCCCCACATGCTGTGTTATAGACCAGGTCTGAGGAGCAGAAAAGTTCTCCTTCTCACTGACAAAGATACAATATTTCAGACAATCAGATATTCCATTTCCATCTATTACGAGTTCCCAGCTATTGCTGGGACATACCCTTGTCTGACTGGGCTACAGCTGTCGATATGGCTTCCCAGTGCCTACTGAGATGGCCTCACCTGTCCTCTCCAAGTACCCAGCATGAGCCTCAGGCAGGAAACAACTAACCAAAGTGGGTTCTTAACATTAGCCCCAGCCAGCTGCAGGCAAATGGGGTCTCTCATGAGGGGAAAGTGTTTGAGTCTCCAGATACAGCCCATGGTTTGTTGAACAGGAGTGTAGATTTTCCCAGTGATTTAGATGAAAGGGTGGCAAATAGGGCTAAGCACTGGCAGCCTAGAGTGCCTAACAGCTCCTCAGACTTTTCTGGGCTGGGCTGGTACATGGGGATGAGGACACAACACAGTTCAGAGAAGTTCCTTTGGTCCCCTGTCCAAAGACATGGGTGTCAGAGATTTTCAAGTATCAAAAGAAGCAGCAGCTTTATTGTAAATAATCCATTCTGGTTGTAACTGGGATTTGTTCCTTTTCTTAAATTAGCACCATGCAAGACACTCCAGACAGCTTGCCACCACTTCTATCGTACCATCTGTCAGGGGCTCTAGGTGCATCAGTGTCAGGGGTAACCAGTCCTTCGCTTG